CCAGTTACGTATTGCTTTCATTGCGAATAACTTCGTTCGTAAAGAAGTCTTTAAACTGTTTAATATTTCTAGATTTTCATATAAAAAATTCATACTTTTTATGAAATAACTTTCAGGATATAGATTTGGTTGATTTTCATCAACATTTTCTGTGTAAAAATAAAAATTAATACTACTTTTTTTAACATCAAATTCAATAGATAGAATTAATTAACATAATAAAAAGTCTATTTAAAAAAAAAAAAAAAAAAAAAAAAAATTACAATAAGTTGTCAATGTATTGTCTTATCCTAACATTGTATCACAAATACATGTGGTGGAGGAATATGACTTAAAATTGGGAGCCATAGGAGTTGGTTTAAAAAAATGGTTCTAATTTCTTATGCGTAATACACTAAAATTAATCAAAATTATTTAAAAAAAATATTATGTGTATTTCTTGGATGTTTTAATAATACTAATTCGAATGATCTTCGAATAATATATAATATTTAATTTAAAAAATGTTTAAACCTTACTAGTTGAAGCCTGGCGCATCCGCCACGACATCAGGAAAAAAGTACTTTTATTTTTTTTAATTAAATAAAAACAAAAAAATCCGGCGGCGACAGTTTTAGAAGAGCCAATTAGCTATCTTTTAGTAAAAATGGCGAATGAGGTGCGTCACACTGTATATTGTCTGTGTGTGTACGTTTTATTGACTTTTAAAAATTAGGATAAGTTTTAACAATGTAGCATTTTTATTCTCAAAATTAATATTCATATTAATAAAAAAATGTTTATTTAAATTTCTTAGTATTGCTCATCTATTTGTTAGATGCCAAAGATACCAAGCTCCATTTGTTACAGCTCACTTGTCTCGATATTTAATTTTTATTAGCGCCATCTATTCGCTATATGCCAAACTTCCTTAATTGCATTTCACTTGTCCAAATCTCACTTCGCTGTGGATTGCGATTTTCTGTTCTAATGATTTCGGTCATATGATATCACTTTTTTCTTTTTTCTGGGAATTTTGATCTGAAGAAGACGCGTGTGTTTCGGCGTCCGACAAATTGTTCAGTGAAAAGCACTCTGAATCCACTTTTCGATTTCCATTGCATGGGTATCCGATTTGGAAATTTGAAAACCCTGTAAAGTATGCAATCCAGAGTATAGATCGTATTTTTTTGGTTTCTTCTTTGAATGATCACCGTAAGTTTATCTGCCATTTTATATAGCCCTATTTAACTAAATTCTATTTCAGTTATATTTCCGTTTTTTATTTCGTTTATTGAGTATTTAATTACTGGTTTTGATCGGCATATGGTTTGAATATATTTATGTAAAGCTGGATTTCAGACCGTAAGTTGTTTTTTTATTGAGTATCTGTCCTGGAGAACTTTTTTATTTATAGAGTAACTACCATATGGTACTCAGTAACTACCACATGGTACTCAGTAACTACCACATGGTACTCAGTAACTACCACATGGTACTCAGTAATTACCACATGGTATGCAGTAATAATGCAGTAATTATTGTATGTTTCACCCACTTTCATTTTGTATGGACCTATGCAGACCTTAAGACAGTGTTCCTGACGATTGTAATCGTTCTTTTGGCTGATATCGAAGACTTCTCCTGCCATAGTCATCTGCATCCACTTCTGTTAGCCTGGAGAATACCTAACTACCTGTTTACATCATAAGAAACTATATACAGATAAGTTTTTTTTAAGTTTGATACACAAGGTACGCTTTTATTTTATAATTTTTGAGACAACAGATTTAATAACCTGGTAAATTATCACTATTTATCCCACATATTGTAGTCAAAATTATTTTTTA